CCCCCCTCCATCAGCTACACCCTAGATTTCTTGCTCCCTCTTTAGTCTTGTCTTCTGTGCGCATGCATGCAAGGCTCTGGCCAATCCAAATATATACCTCCAAAGAAACACTTCTCCGTGCAGGGAGAGAGAGAGAGAGAGAGAGAGAGAGAGAGAGAGAGAAACCTGCCCGATACCTCATGCCTCTCGGGGGATACATATAGACAAACACACATTGGCAAGAGAGGGCGGCCGCCCCCGCCCCCCCCCCTCGCAGCCAAGGACAAACACACAGCTGATTTTGGAAGTTTTTGTATTTTTTTTGTTTTTCTGTCTAGAGCGGAGGAAGGATGGCAGACATTCTAGGAAGAAATAAAGGGCAAAAGAAGGATATTGAGGGAGGGAAGGCTGCCGCCTCGCGCGCTGTCCGGCACTGTTCCCCGCGCCTCCGCGGCCCGCGAAGAACGCGGGCCAGGAAGCAGCATGGAGGGGAAAGGGCGCAGGGACCGCGGGCAGCAGCAGGAGAATGTTGAGATTTTTGTCATTTTTAACTGTCATTTTGAAAAAACTCAAATGGCTTCTTTCGCGGGAGCCGCCCTCTGCGACTCCTCCCTTCTTCTCCGGCTGTCTCTCTCGCTCACTCGCTGACCCGAGGCATGGTGTGCACTCGGTGTGGGTGTGGGTGTGCATGTGCTGCCGCAGACACACGCACACACGCACATCAGCAGGACTCCTTGTGTCTGGCCATGGAGGAACACACACGAGGGAAACACACCATGGGCGGCGCGGAATATAGAGGAGGTACTTGGACCTTCTCCAATGACGCGTCCCCATGTGGGTGTGCGGCGGCACGCCGCCCCACAGCCGTCGGCCGTGGTCTCTCTCCCTCATGGAGAGGGAAAGAGGGGCGGCCCCGGTGAGCCTCCTCGGCAGACTGAGTACCACACACGTTGCTGTCTCGCGCGAGGAGAGGGGCGGGACAGCCCCCATGCACGCGCACAAAACGAAGAAGACAGCCCCGTGCAGGTATCAAAGCCAACAGCGCGCTCACGCACATATGCACAAGGAAGGAGAAAGAGAGAGGGGGGGGGGAGGAAGGAGGGAGAGCGCACAGCAGCCCCCGCGCACGCCGGAGGGGCGTCGGCCCAGATGCCGGGGGGGGGGGATATGTTGAATGGGGATAATATACAAGGACGGATGGGAAGAGCGGGGAGTGGGCCGTTGGGCCCCTCTGCCTCGCCGGCTTTTGCGCGCGCGCGCGCGCGCGCACACACGCAAACTGGCGCACATAAACCACCATACACACCCCCGGAGAGGGAGGGAGAAGGGGAGGAGGAGAAGGGGATGAAGGAACATCGGACCAGGGAGTCACCCCTGCTCAGATGGTCACCACAGGTGCTCTCTCACCACCCGCTCTCAACCGTACCCCCCGTCCTTTTCTCTGACTAGGATGTGAGAGAATGGGTGTGAAGGCGCCGCCGTAGACGTGTGCCGGGCTGTGTGCGCGCCGCAAGAAGAAGAAATGTGAAGAGGGAGCGGGCTGGCAGAGGGAAGAGGGACACGAACACAGACACATGCGAATGTGCCTGTGCGTGTGTGAAGGAGGCAGCAACAAAAAGGAAGAGAGGAGGGAGGGAGGAGAGGGCAGGGAGAGATGCACACTGCCCCCACTGGCGCTGTAGGATGTACACATGCGCAACACCGTCGTGGACAGCAGGCAGAGGGCACTTTCCCGCACCCCGGGCGCTCCCCCGACACTCCCCCTCTCCCTGTGGTTTGCTGCCTCCCGCGATCTCTTCGTCTGGCGCTTAGTGCTTCTTGTACTCAAGAAGCACGGGGTAGATGCGCTCGAAGGCCTGTTCGATTTCCTCGCACCGCTTTGCCCCGGTCAGGACAATCTTGCCGGAGACGAAAATCAGCAGCACGACCTTCGGGTCGTGCATGCGGAAGATCAGCCCCGGGAAGAGCTCCGGGTCATAGTTGGACGAGCTGCCGTGGGTGTTCTGCAGCCCCTCCAGACGGATGGGGAAACGCACATCGCATGACCCGACCACATTCTGGATGGTGAAATCATTGAAGTCCACCTTGAAACCACAAGATCGGAAGAGCGTCGTGTACGTGCATGCGGAAGATCAGCCCCGGGAAGAGCTCCGGGTCATAGTTGGACGAGCTGCCGTGGGTGTTCTGCAGCCCCTCCAGACGGATGGGGAAACGCACATCGCATGACCCGACCACATTCTGGATGGTGAAATCATTGAAGTCCACCTTGAAACCACACTTCTGAATGATGCGCATGAACTTGCGCGCAGCGAACTGCGACTCATTCTCGCTCTTAGCCCCGGTGACGACCATCTTGCCGGAGGCGAAGACCAAGGCAGTGGTCTTCGGCTCGCGGATGCGCATGATCACCGCGGAGAAGCGCCGAGGGTTGTACTCGGCATTGCGGGCCTTGGTGGCGATGTCACGCAGCTGCAGCGCGCAGTTCAGGTTGAGCGAGGCAACAATGTTCCTGTACGAGAGGAAGGAGGGCAAAATGAAGAGACGCCACAATAGGGGGGGGGGAGATGTCAGCATGGGAGCCCCCGAGTGAGGAAGAGGGGCGTACTGAGCCAAGAAACGGGAGGAGGAGAGAGAGGGGGGGGGAGGGAAGAACGCACTGAAGCTGTGGCCGAATGCCAGCAGTGATGGTCTGAGAGGGGGCGGCAGCCGGCACAGCGGCAGGGACCTGGGTGCTGGTGGGAACGGCAGGAGCGCTGGCGGGAGCGGCGCCTGTCGACTTGTTCTGGAAAGCCATAGTGGACATGAATGAAAAGGAGAGGGAGAAACCCGGGGAGACGTGACCGACTGGGTGGGAAGAGTCGTCACAAGGAAACAGAGAGGGGAGATGTAGAAAAGGGGGGAGGAAAGGACGACTATGTAGAGGCGAGAAAGAGAGGAAGGAAGAAAGAAAGAGAGGAGGAGGGGGAGGAGAGAATAGCGGGGGGACACCGATTTGGGAGAAGGGGATGCAAAAAAAACAGGAAGAGAAGAGGGAGAGAGGGGGGAGAGAGAGAGAGAGAGTAGGGACACACAACGTTAGCCATCATCATGCAATTCCCGGATGTTGAGGGGAAGAGAGGAGAGGAGGGGGAGAGAATCCTTCCCATACACCTCTCTTTCATCCTGCCCATGTGGGCCCCCTCCCTCTCCCCGCACAATGGCCATGCGAAGATGTATCCGGAGCCAAAGGGGGGGGAAAGGGGAGAGGATGAGCGAGGATGAGCAAGAGGGATAGGAGAAGAGGAGGGAAAGGATTGGAGCCCGCAAACCAGATGCGCGTGTGCGTCATTCCCCGTGCTTATACACACACATACACACACACACACACGCATGCAAACGTGTGCACATCAAGCCAAAGACCTGGTGTGGGCAACACACGAGAAGGGACTTGCTTGCACGGAGGGGCGCATGAGGACTGACTTGCGCCCGGCCGCCGCACGCCTTGAAAGGGAACACAAGCAGGGCCACAGAGACAGGAGCAAAAGGAAGGCAAGAGAGAGAGAGAGGGAGAAGGATGGAATCACATCGCAGGGGGGGGGAGGCAGCAGGGAGGAGAGAGGGGCAGGCAACGAAAGGAAGATGCGACTTGGCCTGCAAAACCCCCATTTCCCTCTCTCCTCACTGGCCGCCGCCCGTGGGGATGTGTGTCTATCTATCTCTCGCTCTCTCTCTCTCTCTCTCCGTGCATCCTTCCCCCGGTCGGTAGGAGGCTCCGTCTCTGCCGCCATGCCCGATCCGCCCCCCTCGCCCATGGCCCCGTCCCCCCCCCCCGCAAAGGGAGGAGCCGGGGATGGTGTGAAGGAGGAGAAAACGGGATGAAGGATATGCCGCTGTGGCCCCAGAACAATACTCTGCGCCGTCGCCACCGAACAAGCTCGTCGCCTCCAACGCGTGTACCTGCGGATGTGAGAGTGTCCGTCCGACAAGGACCCTCCCCTCCATGTGTGTATGGGCCATGCATGAACACGGTGCATCTGCACAGAGGGCGCATCTGATGAGAGGTGCTCCCACACGCCCGGGAGGTCTTCGCACACACACGCATGGCACGCTGCTCGCCCTTCCCCCCTGGAGGGCAAAGAGAGGCAGGCACACCATCGAGAAAGACACATCCGCGGGAAGGGGCAAACATCAGCCCCAAGCGCTCCTGGCCGCCCCCCGCCCCTCTCTCTCTCGCCAGATCCCACTGCATAGGCGGAATCCACGAAGAACGGGAGACACCGACAGCTGAGGCGAGGAGAGAGAGAGAGAGAGAGAGGAGGAGCGAGGGAGGATGGGGAGGGCAAAAAAGGGAGGCTGTCCCTCTTTTGCCTTGGCCGCCTGTGTCGAGAGAAAGGAGGGCGCGTCCGCCTGCCTGGAGAGAGTGCTCGCATGTGAAAAGTAGAGGCACACCGGTGGCCGCATGACGCGCCAGGTGGCCATGACTTGTCCCCCCGGCTCGCCCACCCCCCTCCCCCGCTCGTACATATCCTGTCGCTCCCACGTGTGTGGGAGAAGCATGCACACGCGCCGTTCCATACTCCAGCATGCCTGGCGACCAGAATATGATATGCTGATCGCCGACAACGAGAGGAATCACCCCGTGTCCGGTGAGGGACAAAAGGAGCAGGAAGAGTGCGTACTACAAGCACCCAAGATCGCCCAGGCGCCCAGGCGCCGAGGAGACACACGACGGGTTATGGGAGGAGGGAGGACATATGACGAGCGGGGGAAGGAGGGGGGGGGGAAGGGCACACGCACACGCACACACACACGCCGATGCGGAGGGGTGTGCAAATGCATGAATACACGCATTTGAGCACCTCAGAAGGCAGGAGACGCGGGCCTTTGTCCGGACACCGACAAGCACGAGACATTGAGGAGGGTGGAGCAAATGGGGAAGCAAAAAGGCAACGGAGGGAGGGCGCGCGACGCGCTCCCCCTCCCACTGGCACGCCGCCTCCATCATGCATGCTCAACACACGGACACCACTCGCCATTGGATCATCATCTGCCATGCTCGGGAAGAGGGAAACAGTGCGGCAGGACTCAACCAATGGAAGAGGAGCATTCGGAAAGGGAGGCAGCAAGATGACCGCGACGAGTGGAGAAGGTGGAGAGCATGAAGAGGGAGCGGGAGGGCGAGGAGCGGGGGGGGAGGCGCGTGCGCGCGCCCACGCGAGAAGGGCAGATCAAGAGGCCGAGGCCATGGCACCTGGGGGAGGTGTGTGTGTGGCTGGGATGTACTTACGTTGATCGTGCTTCTACTACCGTCGCGATGCAGGCACCGAGTCGTGGAAGGACTCAGAGGGACAGCCGGAAGGAGAGGAGGGAGGGGGGGGGAGGTGCAAGGCCCAGAGAGCGAGAACTGAATCTCAGTCCTGATGCTTCGCAGAGGGGGGGGGGAGGGTCGGGAGCACAAGCGCGGACGGGGCCACGGGAGCTCAACCGGTTCTGGGTGGGGGGTCGGTCGGGGAGGAAGTCCTGCCTTTCGAGGGGGAAACGAAGGACAGAGTAAAGGAGCGAGCCTGTAGCCTGGCAGAACTGAATCGCCAAGTGAGACTAGTTACGACAAGAACGAAGACTCAAGCTTGTGTGGCGGCGGCGACGACGGCGGAGGTGGTGGCGGCGGCGCGGCGGCAAGGGCGCAAGGTTAGGCGAGGAGGCGGGCGCGACACCGCGGTCCGGGAGGGGAGAAGGGAGAAGGGAGGGGAGAAGGGAGAGAAGCGACGTGATGTGGGAGAGGAGTGGGAGACTCACCGTGGGGAGGAAACTTGAGAAAGCGGAAGCACTGCTTTGGGGAGGTGCAATGAACACGGGGCTGCAGGGAGAAATAGAAGGAGGAGAGGTTAGAGACAACACTCGGGAGGGGGAGGGGGAGGAGAGGGAGCACGAGGCGACGCGACGGGGTATTCACCCATGCATGGAGGGGAAGGGGCGAGAGGGAGAGAGAGAGAGAGAGGGGGGGGGGGAGAGAGAGAGAACAGCGCAGCGCATGTGCACGCGCGCGCACGCATGAACGCGGGGGGGGGGGGGACATCGTGTGTAACGGGCAAAACAGGGGCGCAGCGCGGCAACCAGGGGAAGGGACGTCGGACATACGCTGTGTGTCGAGTGCGGCCTTACGTTGCGGGGAGCGAAAGCGCGTGCTGTGCGTGTGGCAGATATCGTTGTCGTCAATAGCGTTCTTTACTATGAACTTTGCTGTCAACGCCCGGACAGGACCCCACGGAGGGGAGCCCCCTTATATACCTCTGAATTTCATTGGTGAAATGTCCGGTCGCCCCCGGCCGCTGGGGGGGGGGGGGGACAACCCCGGTGACCCCTCCCCGGCCCCCGGCCCACACATACCAGCCACCGCCGCCCCGCCCCCCCCCCAGCCCTGGTCCCTGGCCCGCCGACCCCTTCTCCCGCGCGCGCGACAAACCGGGCGAGAACATATGGCCGCTCGCGGCCTCCCCCCCCCCCTCCCCTGGCTCCGGCCCCACACAAATGAGGCAGGTGGCCCGGTCCTGGCGCGTCCGGCACGCCCGCGGCCCTCTCCCCCCGGGGCTCCGGGAGGGGGGCAACACGGGCGCCCGGCGGCACAAGGCCGGAACACAAACCCACATTGGGCGCGCGCGCGGAGAAAAATCCACGCGCAGGAGGAGGGGGGAGAGGGGAGGGGCGCGCCGACACCCGCGAGGAGGAGGGCACACCCCACGGCGGCGGGTGTGTGTGTCCCCTCTCCGGAGACGGCCGCCTCCCGGCAGCGCTTAAATACCGCCCCGCCCCCGCCGGCCACTCCCCCCGCCCGGCCCCCCCCGCACACACCCGCGGCCGCCACCTTCGGCGGGCTGACCCGCCCGGTGGCACTTGAGGGGCGCAACGCCCCGGCCCAAGGGCCAACGCCCGCGACCCTCGGCCACGATTGACCCCCCCCCCCCCCCCCCCCCCCCCCCCCCCCACCCTGGGACAAAAGGGGCAAAGCGCGAGACGGGCCTTGGCGTGGGAACGTCGGGCATCGCCCAGAAAGCCCTGGAGAAGTCTGGAAAAAAGGGGCTGGGCTCCTCGGCGACCGGGCCGTCGGGGCGGGGGAGCGTCCCTAGCCCCCTCACTCGCAAGTGACGACCACCAGAGGACCCCATCCTCAGGCTCCCCGGTCCTCGGCCCTCACTCCATGCCCCGCCCCCCCGGCTCACCGGGGCACCACAGGCGCGCGTGCTCTCTTGCCCCTCCTGCCCGCTCGGCAGACGCGCCGGCTGGCTATGCGCGTCGGCAGTCGCCCCGCCTACCCCGCGGGGCTCCGAAGCCCGGGACCGCCTCCGAGAAACCCGGACGAACGCCCCCCCTCCCTGGCAGCACATCACGTAATCCCCCCCCCCCCCCCCACCCGCCCCCCCGGGGGGAGGCGGGGCAAGGGGGAGGAGGGCGGGGCGAGAGGAAGACACGCGAAGCCCGAAGTCTTCGGCTCGCACAGGCATGCGCCCTTCGGTGTCGAGGACCACTAGCCAAGGGGCGTAAGCAGAGACCAGCGCTCCGCGACCCTGCCCCCTGATCGTGCTGAACAGCAGGGCCAGGGCCTGTTGGTGAGAGACCGCCGAGGGGGGGGGGGGGAAGACGTGCAGGGGATCCCCGACGGACCGCGCCGAAGCCCCAGGCCGCACTGCCAGGAGGCTCGGGAAAGATAGGCAGAGGAAAGAGGGAGAGAGAGAGAGGGAGAGGGTGAGAGCGAAAAAGGCAGACTGTCCGTGCGTCTGCCCACGAGCACACCAGAATGACCACACGACGGTCTCATGACAACCCCAACCCTAGCCACACCCGCCGGTGTAGCCCATACCTAAATCACGGAGGTTAAGCTGCCAGGGGGGGGGCGGGCGGGACATTACCCCCTCCCCGGCCGGAGGCCGGGCGCGCAGATCGGCCCGGCCTGACGAATGGGGCTTCGGAAGCAGATGGAATGAAGAGGAACACGGCAAGAGGGCAGGGGGACTGGGGAAACGCCACACGATGACACTAGAGGACGAAAAGCACAGAAGCCCCGCGATTTGGCCGTAGCTCCCCCCCCCCCACCCAGAGGGTCAACGCGCTCAGCCGATGGCGCAATAGAAAAGCCCCTACTTTCGACCAGGGTCCCGAACACAGGTCACGCGGCCGGAACATTAATTACCCTGGCCCTGCGGTCTTTGAGGAGGGCCACTCTTCCCGGGTCCTTCTACCTCGGCAGGCCTGGTCACACCCTTCCCCCCCCCCCCCCCTCCCCCGCGACGGACCCTCCTGCATATATTGACCAGCTTTTTTTTATCAGACCCTTTACCCCAGGTCTTCCAGTTTCACACTTCTGTCTCTCCTTGACCCAGTCCAATGTATAAGCACGGAATAGCATTGCACATTCAACTCCCAGCGAACATCCGTCACCGTCAGTGGGGAATGATCGACCTCCAGTAGGGTGGCCGTGTCGCCCGCCGGAAGAACCTGTGCGTGGGAGGAGGAGGAAGCAGAAGCATGGACTGGGCATATTCCAGCGCAACGCGTCTTCCTGGCAGCACGTTTGTTGGTGTCCACGACGTATTTCCCCCCCTCGCGCTCCCTCTCCCTTTCTCGCCCTCGGCCATTTCTCGTCCTCAGCCCCTTCTCGCCCTCGGCCCTTCGCCATCTGCCCCCCCCCCCTCCCCCCAAAAAGACCACAATGCGGCTTTTCCGCGCCAACAGAGAAGAAAGAGGCAGGGAGTGCATTTTTTGTGCAGGATAGGAAATCGCATGTGTGAGGGGGGGGGGGGGGGGAGCGCATCCGCGTACATGCCCACATGCATGCATTTTACATACATGCACACACACACACACGCACACGTGGGTAGCTGTGTCTGTCGCCTGAGGCTCGGTCGTGGGTCTTGGTGCGCACGCATGCGCCCGCACAACACGGCGAGTCGGCCGGGGGGACTCTCCCCCCTGCCAAAGGTGACAGAGCGGCGGCACGCACAGGCGGGAGAGTGCACGCAATTACTTGGTGGACTCGACGTAGTCGCGGTACTTGTCCTCGCTCATCATGCCCGCGAGCTCGGAGTCGTCAGACATCTGGATCTTGAACATCCAGCCTGCGCGGAAAGAGGCGGGGGAGCCCAGTGTGTCAGTGGCGGAGGGAGAGAAGAGAGAAGGAGAAGCCGCGGGTCAGGGACCGGCGCAAACAAGCAGGCAGATTGTCCCCCGCACCGTCGCTGAAGGGCTTCTCATTGATGAGGGCCATGTTGGAGGAGTCGGTGAGCGAGTCGTTGACCTCGACGATCTTGCCGGTGACCGGGGAGTAGACCTCGCTAGAGGCCTTGACCGACTCGATGGCACCAGCGGAGTCCTGGCGGGCGAGGTCGGCACCAACGGCCGGCAGCTCGATGTAGACAAGGTCACCCAGCAGGGAGGCAGCGTAGTCGGTGATACCGACGGTGGCGATCTTCGACTCCTTGTCGACAGTGACCCACTCATGATCCTCGGTGAAGAGGCGGCCTGGTGCATGGCAGCCATGGAGAGAGCCGGACGGTGAGCACATGAGCCTGCACTCTGGCACAGAGCAACACAATCTGCAGGTGGGTGCGGGCGTACTGGTGGAGAACATGCGGGCGGCGATCTGGCCGTTCTGCATGGCAGAACGACGGAGCATGTTGGTGGCGGCAGTGAGCATGTTGGTCTGGGGGAACTCTCGTGAGTAGTGGGGCTCTGGGAGGTGAGGGTGGCGGGAGGAGGGCGAGCGGTCAGCCGACAGAGGGAATGCCGAAGGAGCAGGGGGGGAGGGGAGGGTGGGGACAAAAAGGCGACATACAAAAACAAATCTGAAGGAAGCCTCTACAGAGGGCTGCGCGCTCGGTACCAACAGGGCACCTCGCCTTCTCTCTCTCTCTCTCTCTCTCTCCCCCCCCCCCCCCCCCTCGCCGTCCTTCCTGCGAGTGCATGGAACACCGGGGAATACACACTGGTTGCACACCTCCCCCCCTCCCCCCGTTGGCATCCTTGTCCAGGGCCCACTCTCCTCGCCCCCGCCTGCCTTGGCGCGCCCCTCTCTGCCCACATCCCGGGGGCTGAATCATTTTCGGCATCTTGAGTTCAATTTTTGGACCCATCTATTTCACGCCCACCCTACGTCTCGGCCCCCCCC